GTTTAGCTTCTTCCAACTCTGGAAGTACATACAGTCTCTCTTTCTTAGTTTCACTCTCTTTAATTAGCTCTTTGAAAATAAGTTGAAAAAAGATTATCTGTTATGTTTGATGTATATATGTTTTGACATTTGAATCAAGGTATCACGAAAACATAAGTAGAAAATACAATACCACGCGACATAATACGAAGACAACTTAGCTTTCGAAGTACAAGACATAATATGACAAATAAAACGATAAAAACAGATATAATACGACAAATAAGTCGATAAAAATGGACATAATACGACAAATAAGACGATAAAAAATACATAATACAATAAGAGATATGTACGGTTTGTGTTTTGAAAAGATTTCATATAAATATATTTCTATGTTTATGGTACTATATATGCTTTTTCTTAATTATCAACCTAAGAAAAAATCGTACTTTTAAAAAGATTTCATCTAATTTTTTTAGCCACTAAATAATTGCCACCTAAGCATCATTGCTTACCTTACGATAGGCATTTGAGTGACATGACACACTATGATAGGTGGTGAGAGATATCGGTGTTTAAAAGATCAATTCCGTATTTATAACCTTAAACTGATATTATAAAATTAACATAAGAAATCAAATTATAGTTTTAATATGATTTGTCTATAATCATTAAAAAAAAAAGAAAAAAAGGAGCAATTGTTGTCGCTGTCCCCAGCCTCTATCTCATGAACATTGTCGTCCCCAACACTCAACTTTTTGCAAAAATAGGTCTATACTCCCGAAGTATGAAGTACTCGGTAATATAAGTCACTATTTTAACTGATACATGTATTAATAGTTGAGACCCACCATGGTGGGATCCAATGTTTAATTGTGATCCAAACATGGATACATTGCCCTTGTTTGAGTCACATTACTTTCCTTAGAATACATTTTTAAATAGTTTATTGATGAAAAATGTGTGGTTCAAAAATAAAGAAAATTTTGGATTTACGTATAATATTATTATATTGAAAAATATGTGGTGGAACTGATATCAAATCAATATTTAAGAATGTATTTATTTGAAAAAATGTGGCTCAAACATGATCATTATATACACTTTAATGCAATAATGACAAGGAGTATTGAGTTCTATATTTTTAGAGTACTAGAAATTTCCAAACCTTTGACACCCGTGGTGATATTGATTAATCTCATAAATTAAATAAGAAAATTAGCACAAAAAGATGATTTTAGCCTCAAGAGCAATTGAGCAAAATGAAAGAAAATCACAAAGAAGAAGAATAAAAAGTTATGCAATGTCCAGTATTTCATTCTTATCATCTATTTTATGAAACTGCGATTATAATTTTGTAAGGACAATTAAAGATTGGAAGGGTAATTTATATCTATAAATCATTTGTGCTCAATTCAACTTATCAAACACGTGTGTGTGAATTAAATGCAGCATCTCACTTCAAATTTGCAAGTGATGAAGACAATCCTAAACTAGTCAATTTTTTTTATGATTTTGGGACTGCATTAGGAGATCATTAGAGAAGATGGTAGTGTCATGCATTTTCATAAACAGGGTCAGAAAAATCGCCACCATTTATTTAAAATTTCATAGGAAAATTCGGGCGATACCCTTTGCAGCATGCACAACTTAGGTAGTGGCAAAAGTATAGTAGAATTCTTAGAATACTTGCAACTGTATCACACATAAGAGAATTGAATTGAATTTGACCTCTCCCCTATTAAATGGAATCGGCGGATGCTAAAACAGGAATTACATCAACCATGCCACTTCTCAGTTGCATGCTTAGAACTTCCAAAATCTCACTCCTAAACTTTTGTTTGCTATCATTTTGTGCTTTTGGCATGTTGTGAAGCTGTCAAGCTGTATTGTGAGTATGTATATGGGAGGAACGCAATTTTCAGATGGCCACAATCTTTCCATTGTTACACCAAACCATGGGATTGAACAAGGATAGCATTCTGCTCAATCTCAGAGTTGTAATTTCAGTTGTGGAATGGATTCTGCTGTGGGCGATAAGGTTGCCTTGTGCAATCAAAGATGCAGCTCAAAAGATGAATCAAAAGGATGGTAGATTCATCTTCCAATTTTACAAACCGCTACCAAATTCTATCTCACTATCATCAGCATTTGCATCTGAATCCTGGTCGATGTGGGCCAAATCGACCAGCGGTGATTTACTTGGGACTGATAGTGGCGTATTCATGGGCTCCGAAACAGATTTTTTTCTTCAAGAGACGACAAGATCTTACAAATTCAAACTAACAAGGCGAACGGAAAAGAAGAGAGATTATCCACCGCCAATTCCTTCACTGGCACTGCCACCGCCAATGGGCAACCTTTCGATCCAAGAGCCATGCTCTCTCTCTACAAGCTGTTGTGATGGTAGGCTGATTCTTCGGCAGGAGATTGTGAAAAGTTATGAGTACTTTGAATCCATTAGAGAAAATGGGCGTTTGATGTTAAATCTTAAACGTTTTGAGATAGACAATGATGAGAATTTAGAGGAACAAGATGATCTTCAATTATCTGCTGGCAAAGACAATGGTATGAGTGAGAATTATGATCCTTTGATTACATTATGATTTTGGGACTGCATTAGGAGATCATTAGAGAAGATGGTAGTGTCATGCATTTTCATAACCAGGGTCAGAAAAATCGCCACCATTTATTTAAAATTTCATAGGAAAATTCGGGCGATACCCTTTGCAGCATGCACAACTTAGGTAGTGGCAAAAGTATAGTAGAATTCTTAGAATACTTGCAACTGTATCACACATAAGAGAATTGAATTGAATTTGACCTCTCCCCTATTAAATGGAATCGGCGGATGCTAAAACAGGAATTACATCAACCATGCCACTTCTCAGTTGCATGCTTAGAACTTCCAAAATCTCACTCCTAAACTTTTGTTTGCTATCATTTTGTGCTTTTGGCATGTTGTGAAGCTGTCAAGCTGTATTGTGAGTATGTATATGGGAGGAACGCAATTTTCAGATGGCCACAATCTTTCCATTGTTACACCAAACCATGGGATTGAACAAGGATAGCATTCTGCTCAATCTCAGAGTTGTAATTTCAGTTGTGGAATGGATTCTGCTGTGGGCGATAAGGTTGCCTTGTGCAATCAAAGATGCAGCTCAAAAGATGAATCAAAAGGATGGTAGATTCATCTTCCAATTTTACAAACCGCTACCAAATTCTATCTCACTATCATCAGCATTTGCATCTGAATCCTGGTCGATGTGGGCCAAATCGACCAGCGGTGATTTACTTGGGACTGATAGTGGCGTATTCATGGGCTCCGAAACAGATTTTTTTCTTCAAGAGACGACAAGATCTTACAAATTCAAACTAACAAGGCGAACGGAAAAGAAGAGAGATTATCCACCGCCAATTCCTTCACTGGCACTGCCACCGCCAATGGGCAACCTTTCGATCCAAGAGCCATGCTCTCTCTCTACAAGCTGTTGTGATGGTAGGCTGATTCTTCGGCAGGAGATTGTGAAAAGTTATGAGTACTTTGAATCCATTAGAGAAAATGGGCGTTTGATGTTAAATCTTAAACGTTTTGAGATAGACAATGATGAGAATTTAGAGGAACAAGATGATCTTCATTTATCTGCTGGCAAAGACAATGGTATGAGTGAGAATTATGATCCTTTGATTACATATGAAACTTTACAAAATGGATCAGTCCCGAATTTAGCTTCTCCGATTACCGGAAGTAAATTCATAGATGGTATCAACACTTATGGAGACATGCATGGCAATACTATCACAGCAGTGTAGACATGATGATCCAAACTGATGCAACTTAATTTGGATGTTTAAGTTTCTTTTGTTTAGTTTTTCTGCCACCAGAAAGAAAATAAATCTTGTACTTGTTTCCATCATTTTAGTCTTTTAGTCATCTCTCTCTCTCTCTCCCCCTCCCCCTCCCCCTCCCTCCCTCCTGTGTTAAAATTTAAATCTAGGTATCACGCAAAAAAGAAAAAAAAAAAGAAAAAAAAAGAGAGAAAATAAACCACACATGATTTAATTATACGACGATAATTACGCTTTTTAAGTTCAAAAAGACATAATAAGACAAAATACGCGATATAAAAGACGTAGTACGACAATAGATATGTACAATTATGTTTCGGAAATATATCATATCATAAAAAATCGTACTTTTGAAAAATCTTTTTCCGCACCTTCATGCAGATATGAAGCAACAAAAATTAATTAATTTCTAGTTTAAAAAAATTAAAAATTAAAACCCATAAATCACGCAAAACCTATAATTTCAATGGAAGTACATAATTGATGTTTGTTTAAGAAAGAAATCAATGGTGAATAAGTTAATAGTTCTTGTCTTGATCTCTCAAATATACTGATAAAAAACTGTTTGATTTTTGCAAACACTTGTCAAATATATGATAAGAGAATTTATTATTTATTAACAAAATGAATAATTTATTAATTTATCAATAGACAAATACATTTATAAATTATGTGAAGTCCTTTCTGCAATACACTATACAAATGTAATCCATGTTGAGAATCTTTCGAATTATTTGGTGAGTAAAATATGATGACGAAATTGTCTACTAATATAAAAATTATTCAACAAATATTGAAAACGCTTATCGACGATAATTTTAATCCAGATAAGAGTCGTGTTCATACAAAAAATAAGCATTTCAAGATGTCGGAGCCTTAAATAATTAATTTTTACAAAATGAGTAGAATAACCAATGTTCTGCATGCATCAAAGAACAAAGAAAAGATAAATGATTTTAGATGCATGTCTAAGTAAGAGCGAATTGTGAAAATAGTTGTTAAGCTAAAAATTCCTTATATGTAGTTTGAGATTTTTTGTATTCAATCGATTCTAATTTTAAATATTTATCAAAAGAATTTAAATAAAATTATTAACTTTTAGAAAAAGTCGAATTTACCTATAAATTGTCAACTTTAAACTTTTAATCACTAAAAATAAGAATACTCGCCCCGGTTTTCTCTCTCTGTGCAAAACTTCTATAATTTTCTGTTCTGTTCTCTCGCTCCGATTAAAAATGGACCCTTCAACTGGACCCGCCGATCAGTACCCGCCGGACATCGATCCGAAGGCGGAGAATGAGGAGGAATCGTCATCCTCCCCAACCGTGCTCGACCTCACGAGTTTTCAACTCCACGATCTGGAAACGGTGGAGATTCCACTGAGTCTAACCGAGTTAGACTTGACGGCGAACCGTCTGTCGACGTTAGACCCCCGAATTTCCCAACTCCCCAATCTCAAAAAGCTTTCTTTTCGTCAGAACCTTTTTAATGATGATGGAATCCAGCCTCTTTCAACGTGGGACATCATTTCCGCCCTCGAAGTACCAATTTTATCCTTCCTCTTTCATTTTTATCGTGTTAAGTATGAATTTATTTCACTATTTCGATTATTAAATCGGTGTTTTTGTCATTTGCTTCTTTAATTGCTGTAAAATATGGAAGAAAAATGCCAATTTGTTTCTTGTTTAGCTGTGGATGTTGTGTATTCATGTCTACTCCTGAAGTTTTTAAAAATAAAAATAAAAAATTCAAAGAATCACTTCTCAAAAAAACTTTATCTAACAAGGATTAGCCCTGTTTGAGCCCCACTTTCTCAAAACACATTTTTCTAAAACACATTTTCAAACGCATGTTTTCCCATATAATAATTTTACATATAAACCCAAAATTTTTTTCTTAATTTTTAATCACGCATTCTCCAAAAAATCACCATTCCAAAACACATTTTCTCTAAAAAATGAGGTTGAAACGGGGACTTAATATTTAGTTTCTCTTGTCATGTTAAATGATGGTACATTCCACATTTGAGGCAGTTGAACATAAAACTGGAAGGTGAGAAAGTTGGGCGAAGAAGGTTAAGATGGCGTCTCAACTTTAGATGGGAAATTGGGTTCCTTACTAACTTTTCTGATATTCCTTCAATCGAAAATGGTAGGCAAAGGGGTTTTTTGGATACTATTTTATCTAGTTATGATTTGAGCAATACTCAATATCGTAGGGGAATTTTCTAAATAAATGGCAATATTTTATTGTTTCTTCAAATGGAGGAGAAGATGATGGTTTTACTTATAAGAAGCCTGGAAAGAAGAAAACAATAATTATGATAGTAAGAATAAAGTTGTTAATGAGAAAGGTGGTTCAATAAATGTTGCTAAACTGGGTGATCAGTTTGGAGCTTGTTTGATTTAGATTTTTGTAAAAAGTGATTTTTTAGGAGAATTAGTGGTTAGAAAGTACAAAAGAATTAAAATCCCACATGAAAAATTATTTTATTGGGAGAAAGTGTGGTTGAAAATGTTCTTAAGTTAGTCAGAGATAAAGCAATGGTTAAATTGGTTAGAACCACTTATGTAGTTGTCCATGATGGCAACATGCAACAACAATAAAGGAGGTCATTGAAAGGATTCTAGAAAGAAAGGCAATTGGTGCAGAAATTAAGACAACTTGAAGGGAGAAACATAGGTTGTTCTACCTTGAAATGGTGCACTTATCCTTGTGAACAAGCAAGTTTATAGGTTTCTCTATTAGAGGAAAGGAAGAGAATAGTCTAGGGAACCTTGAGTTGTTCATCATTTTGCTACGAAGGGGGCATCAATCATGGCGAGTTTGCTATTGTTTTCCGCACTAGTTTACAAGTGATTGACCTCCATTGCGAAATGTCATTTGAGGATAAAGTGCAAAATTCAAAACGAATTTTCTTCAAGCTTAGAAGAATGATGTGTTTTGAGAAATAAAGCACATGAAAGGGTGTAAGAACTTAATTGTTCTTTTAAATTATGATTTTATTAAGTAGGGTTTATATTTAATTGGATTAGATGATATGGACTAGGAGGAAATCTTTATTATCTTTAGAATGAGATTTAGCCTCCGTTTGGTTCTGATTTTTCACTCTAAAAAATCAATTTTTTGATCGTTACTTCCTTAAGTCAGCCATCATTTTTTACTTTTTCACTCAGTAGGACCCACTTTTCTCCCTAACGGTTAAGAAATTGATTTTCAAAATTACTACCTAACAAACTCTTAATTTTGGTTTCTATGAGACGAGCGACGGCAATAGTTGTTCCTTTAATTAAAACTAATATAACTGTTTTAGTTTTCTCCGATTTTTTATTTAAATCGCTATTTGTAAAAATCAAAGATTCATTGATCACGTGTCATTTGATTTTGTGACGCTCTCTCTACCATCAAGGCTCAAACATTAAAAATATATATTTTACAACTTCTTTTTGAATTTCTCTTGGACTTACTTTTAGTAAAACTACTTCGATTCATTCAATTGAAAAGTAGTTTGGGTGTTTATTACTTTATTTAATGGCAAAAGATCACATGGATCATGTGGCCTCTTTAGAGCAACTTGGTGACATGGATGCAGGAAAAGGTAATAATGGAGTATTTGTTATAGATTTTATTGTATCTCATGATCTAGTAACATTGAATTCCTATTTCGAAATAATTGATGAACATTCCATATTTCTTTAGAGAGGATCTTCTTGCACATGCCTAATCGATTTTCAAACTGGAAGAATAGATCAATAAACATGTAATGATTATTAAATTATGTTTGATATCATCAAAGCCTTTGTTTGGTTCAGCTGCAAAAGTTAATTAAAATATAAGTCAATATCAACAATTAATTTTAATCACACATTTCTTGGTTCTTATAACTTTTCAACACACATTCCATCAAATTTTATCAAAATGTACTAAAAAATTGATTTTTATGTAAACCAAATAAGGCAGTAGAGTACTAACTTTGCAATTTTGTAAGAAATTTTTATAAAAAAAAATGACAATTTTGAGAATAAGGGATAAACTACTAATAGTTGGAAGATGGAATATAAGTTATAGATTAACCAAAGTTACCTATGGTTTACACTACTATAGGAATAGTCTGGAGTAGTCTTAGCAAATCAATTGATAGTAGACTAGTTGAGGAAATTTTGTGTTTGAATGAAATAATCAAACCGTTAAATGTAAAGTAGCACATTTTAACGAGTATGGTTAAACATAATAATGAACGCTCAGCTTGGAAACGTACTTTGGACAACACGTGTAAGTGAAATTAAATCTTCATAACTAGGTTAGGTCATTGCCTTGGCCAATTAGTTAGTTCATGACCCAACTAAGTAAATCTATAATGAAATAAATGTTGAAATTGAGAAGAATGAGAAAATGGTAGGATGATGAATTGATTCACTTGTTTTCGAAGATTTTATACTTTCTTCTTTAGAAGCTTTAATTTTCTCCCAAGTTTTTGTTCTGTTGTCCAAGTCTAAAAACGTCCGTTGTGTGCCCTAATGACAGGTATTTAACTGTTAGGTTTTAAAACCTTTTTCCCGATATAAAAATATCCAAATTTCCCTCGAAAGATCTAAACTAATAAATTCTAGCCGGATTCTGTTGTACCCGCTCACTTGAGCAAGCAAGGGTTGCACTTGTTCGTTGTTGTTGTGTCTTCTTGTTTGCCATGCTTACATGTTTTTTCTTGCTTTTTGATGGTTCTCACTTGGGCGAGAATGTAAGAAGCATGGATATGATTACGTAATTCGAATACGATATGATACGGGTACGTCGATACGACTTTTTAAAAAAAAAAGGATACATAGATACGTTTTATTAAATTCAACTTAATTTCATTAATACAAAAAAAAGGGAGTATAATAATAAAAATAAAATAAAATACTAAAGTATTTTATCTTAATTCTTAATTGTCACAAAAATTCATTTTCTTATACATCATCAATATCAGCTTCTTCATTATTATTAAAAAATAACATTCTCCAACTCTTGTTCATCAGTGATAGATTAACAACTGTCAAAGACAATAATTTTCGATTTTTGAATGATTCTCTTTTGTGAGAATTCCTTCTATTAAATAGGCAGGGTATATACAATTACAGGGCTGAATATCAGCTATTACATGAATCTTGGCTAACAGGGAAAGGAATATACAACAATTTATAGAAATTATCCCATAATTATATCCTACTAATATTCCCCTTCAAATTGATGTTGGTCGATCAAGAAACATCAATTTGCTTACAAGAAACTGATGACGCTGTCGTGTCATAGCCTTTGTAAAAAGGTCAACTATCGGAAGGGTAGTGGAAATATGCGGAAGAGAAATAACACGAGTATTCAAGGCTTCCTGAATAGAATGACAATTCACTTCAGTATGCTTTATACACTCATGATAAATTAGATTACCAGCAATCTGCATGACACTGGTGTTATCAACATGTAGAGTAGGCGCAGACTGAGAAAAACCAAGTTCATCTAAAAGGCCACGAAGCCTGATATTCAGATTCAGTAGAGGACTTAGAAACACGATCTTGTTTCTTACTCTTCCAGAAGATCAAAGAGTTACCAAGAAACATGCACCACCCTGTAACAGAGCGTCAAGTGTCAGGACAGCTAACCTAATCGGCATCACTATAAGCTGTAAGACTAACAGGAGAGTCGGCCAGGAAAAATAAACCACGAGTAGGTGTGCCCAAGAGATAGCGAATGATACGATGAATAGCTTCTGAATGGAGATGACATGGAGTATGCATGAACTGGCTAATCTGCTGAATTGCGAAGGAATTATCAGGCTTAGTAATGGTCAGATAATTTAAATTGTCAACCAACCGACGAAACAAAGTAGGATCAGAAAAAATATCACCCTCCTCAAGACGGTACTTTGTGATAACTTCTAGTGGAGTATCTACAAGTGATGAATCCTGAAGACCAGCCAACCTAATCAAATCCTGTGTGTACTTGTATTGATTCAGGAAGATACCCGAGGGATCTATGTAAACCTCCAACCCTAAGAAGTATGTAAGAGGACCAAGATCTTTCATATGAAACGAAGTTTGAAGGTGCTACTGTAGGTGACTAATTAAGGTAGAATTCTGATAGAACCCCCAACCTGCAGTAACAGTGGAAGCTCTTTTGAATTGATAAACAATGGAAAATCAAAGTAAATTCTTATTGGAAGAGTAAATGAACAGAATTGGTAACAAATGCCAGGCTATTCGAGAGGCCAGGTCTCTCCCTCTTGACTCAACTTACACGTGAATGATAATTCCCAACCCCAACTCTCCATTTATAAGCAATCCCTACTTGACTTATTACATTTTTTACCCTACTAACTAACTATTAAGTTGTCTAGATTAACAAAGATGTGGCAGCAACCATGTGAATCGGTTTAGCATCTTTCATTACCCGCCGCCTCAAAATCCACCTTGTCCTCAAGGTGGAAGCTATTGTTGCCTTGGTCAATTCATCATGCAGCCAGGCCATTTTCCTTGCAGGCACTCTAGTCATGGTCATCATTGGA